GGGATGCTGGTTTAAGCTGGTCATGTGCTGGTCATGTGCTGGCAAAGGACCAGCATAAACCAGCAAAAAGACCAGCACAAACCAGCATCAAAACATACCTAACCAGCATATGCTGTTTTTTTTCAACAGGGAGAGGAGAGACAGACTCCTATCAACCCATTAGAATTAGGGATGGTCGTATCGATCCAAAGTATCGATACTGACGCGAGTATCGAAAGTATCGATACTCAAACAAAAAATATCGATACTAAGGTGCGTTTTATTTACCAGTGGTTTTGTTTATTTAACAAAAAGAATAATAATAATAATAAATGCGTACAATAAGCATTGAATTGGACGAATAACCTTTTTGTTAGCGAGTAATTGTGTAGGATATAACTATTTTCCTGCTCATCTGAACACACAAATGTTGCAAGACAGAACCAATTAATCACAGAGCATTCACTCACTGCTGACAGTGCATTCAAACAGGGCTGCGTTTCCCAAAAGTATCATAAGAAAGCATTAAAGCTTTTGGGAATGGCAGCCCTGAACAATGTTTATCAGAGGACAGAAAAAAAAATAAATAAATAAAACGTTTGAGTTATTTCACAATAAACAAATTGAAATTGTAGCCTACATAGTTTGTGCAATTACAATTATTTAAATTGAACGTTGAAAGATAATATTGATCATGTTCTATTCTGTAATGTTAATAGAAATCATACACCGTCAGAATAAAAAAAAGTTGCAGTTTATGCATGCAACAGCCATTCACTGGCAGTCCCTAATGGCAGTACAAAATATTGCACTAAATCAAAAGTTCAAATGTTACAAATAAGTTAGAATGTTAATGTTGTAATACTGGTAGCACTAATATAAAAATGTGATGATATGCGTTACAAAAAAGTAAAAATTTTGAAATACGTTTATGGTTGTATTTGATCTCAGTATTACTATCAATGTTGTATAAGGGTTGTTTATGCATAATAGTAACCCTAGAATGTGATCAAACAGTTTAAAATAGCTGGGCTAAGATATATAACAATTTTTAAGACTGCAGAAATATGTTAATTCCGTATACACATTATCCCACATTACACAATACAATTGTGACTGACCATAAAATACTATTTTTCACACACTTTTCCAAAAAAAAAAAAATTTGATTGATTATTTCAAAGGTTTACTAATGACACATCATTTGGATATTTTTCATGTTTGGGAAAAATTTGGGATTAAACAGGTTAAAATGCGTTTTAAACAAAGTTAAGTGGTTGTCATTACCCATTTTACTCTTGGTAATTTAATAATCTAATAAATTTCATAATTTAAAAAAAAAAAGTTTAGTGGTATAAGTTTAGAAGTATCGAATCGGTATTGATATCGACGATACTGCCTTGAAAAATATCGGTATCGTATCGAAAACAAAATAAGGGGTATCGCCCATCCCTAATTAGAATGTGTTAAGTCACATAAGTTACCTCTGTCTGTGTGAAGAGACCAGCTTTGAATTAAGTTTAATTAACCAGCAAGTTGTTTAGTACGGTGTTAGGACATTATAAAAAAAAATTAAAAAAATACACATTTCTCCTTCATCAGCCCGCTTTTTCTATGAGCTTGCAGGGCTTCCTCATCCCAGTCTGAACGTTCGATTAAATGCCCGCGAAAATTAGTGCAACTCATTTGTATGTTTTGAACAGTTCGATTCGGTTCATAAACCTCTAGCATCCAAGCATCGCCAGTCATTCTTGAGAAGTGGGACAAAACAGGGTGCAAAATTGAAAAAATAAAACCTTGTACTCAGACAAATGAAACTACATTTATGTATCTTATATGTACTAAGCTACTGAGCTATGCTTTGATACAACCTCCCAACTTTTCTCTTTTTTAACAAAATGTGTTTTTTTTACCTTGGACTGTGTAATATAATTTCAACTATCTTTAACAGCATTCAAGATGTTTTTAACATTTCAAAACACATCCTGGTGTTAGCAGACAGATTACACTTTCACACGTGACCAACAATTGCACAACAAATATAAAATATCATAATGAAATATTATCAAAATATTCAACTGACGGAGTTGAATCAAATACATTGAATCAGTCAATTACTGTATTAAAACAAACAGTGAGTATGTTATTGTTTATAAAGCTTTTATTCAAGAGTCACATTTAAGTATTTTGATATATCATTGGAACACAAGATCTTATGGTGGTGACATCTGACGGTGTCGACAAATTTGACATTTCTTTCACAGAACCAATGGAGTTCATGTAGTAGCCATTTTATTTTTTTCTGTTGCTAACGGAACCTGCTTCATAGGATTGAAAATATTCTAAAACTAAAACTTATCAGAGCCTGTCTGACACTGATGTACTCTGCAGAGGTGAACTGTGGCAAGGGGGTCCAGTTTAGAGTGACAGCTGCCCCTGATATTCCCTGATTTTATTACATTTTATTGAATGTCTGACGGTGTTGACAAAAAGTGGGGACGCAACTTTAAAATCTTATGAAACATGCATGTGTCATTAAAAAACAACCTTGCTTTGATAGGAGATATTATTAAGTGTTGCTTTTGATAAAACAAGCTATTTTTCATCATTAATTTTTTTTTATTGCATATGAATGATTGAACCCTTCTCTGTGGAGAAGGTGGATTGATGTAGTGTGAGGACATTAAAGGGGTCATATGATGCTTTTTTTAAAGATCATTATTTGGTGTATCAGAATATGTTGACATGCTTTAATGTTCAAAAAAACACATTCTTTTTCAAATACTGTACATTATTGTAGGTCCTCTATGCCCAGCCTCTCTCAAACGCTTCGTTTTCTACAAAGTCCCTCCTTCCGACAAGCGCAGTCTGCTCTGATTGGCCAGCTGACCCAGTGCATTGTGATTGGCCGAACACCGCAAGCACTCGTCGGAAATGTAACGCCCCTTACCATAATCACGAGCTTCATCTTTCAAAATAAATGTAAAGACAGCCCGAAAGGGGAACAGAGTCGCGTGACAGACACAGTGATTAATATGTGTTTGCAGTACACAAGCCACGGTTAAAACAGCTGAATCCACTGTGATGTGACCCTGTCTCTCTCTATCTCTCTGGGGCTGCCTGTGACAAACTGCAGGAAAAGTCTCTGCTGCTCTGCATCAAAACTGCTCAGCACCTCAAACAGGAACCGCACTGCACGGCTACAGACACAACCAAATCTGTCATTTATACAGCCAGGGATGTTACTCAAGAGTTCGTGTGACGTGTGATTACACAGAAAGAATACACTACACAACCTGAAAATCTGTTCACATTTTAAAACACAACTAAACACTTTAGTTACGGAGAGAACTGGCCATCATACACTACCAGACATCAAGTCATTGAAAATGCAAACTTGCACAAAAGCAATGCTAGGAGACAAATGAAATGAAAATAATGTTTTGTACTATCATCAGCTCTAAATATGAAACGTGTCTGATGCCCTCTGGCTGGATAGAACCAATGGCTTTGAATATGGTCAACTAGCATCAACTAGCATTAAATCCTTCAGACTGCAAACCAGGGCAAAATCCCATAGTGTATTCAGGCCTATGCAGGCATGAGTGTATACCTGTCATGTGTGTAGCCGTGGTCCGGTCTGCAGCACTCTATTAGTGTCTTCACATCCCAGGACTCTTGTTTCTGTGTAAACAGGATTCGGGACAGAAACCAAAAGATGTCTGGCGGCCTCATCTGTCCGTGAAAAGAAAACGCAACCATTTCCCACCAGTACCTTTGGATGACGGCTTGGAATGAAATGATTCATTTTAATAAAACTGAGCAAACATTGTATTTAACACAAGTGACCTGACTGTCGTGTAAATTAAATTTCATTATTGTGATTTGTGAGTGACTTTAGCTCAGTTCAGGCGCACCAGTTGGCATATTTTAGCTATGTGTTAGACTTTACACCTGCTAGAATATTAATTTAAATGCAATGTAAAGATTGCTTGTATTTAGTCCAAAATATTTTGGTCATGGTATGTTTTTCAACATTTATGAAACTCTTAAAATACAGAAACGTAAACACTCTTTCTACCAAGGGTCTGCATTTGGACACATTTAGACCCATTTAAGTACTGCTTGTACTTTACTTTTTTTTTTACAATGAAAAAGTCCATGCCCCGTTGTCTTCGCACATCAAAATCTACTGACATATTTGTTTAGAAGCATTTAGATTTCTTGTAAAAGGTTCTTGAGCTGTGCTTATTTCTCTCCTGATTCAGAAAAGATGACTGGAGAATGCAATATTATGAATAAAGGAATCAGCAGCTTAAGTTCAACTGACTTGATGGATTTATTACAAACATGCAGCTTGTAGATTATTGTGCCGTTTTGACTCCCATTCTGACGGCACCCATTCACTGCAGAGGATCCATTGGAGGTCAAGTGATAGAATGCTACAGTAAATTTGTTTTGATAAAAATAAACTCATTTACAGTACATCTCGGATGGCCTGAGGGAGAGTACATTTTCAGAAAATAACTTCTCCTTTAAGTCGTGCCAATTTCGTCAATCAAGAGACTTTTCCAAATAGGTCTAACAAGAAATTGAAAGACCAGGTCATTGAAATTCACTAATCAAATGTAAAATAATGCAAAGTCACTGTATAAATGACATCTAAATGAATCCTTGTTAAAGTCGTTAGCTCATTTTGCTCCACGCAAACTTGATCTTTGCGAGTGCTGTGCATGTGAAAAACATAACACAAGTCAACATTCCTCCCAAATTTGCAATGTGCTTTCCCACCAGAATAAAAGCTCTATGGTTGAACGTTTCAAAGCAAATAAATGAAGACAGCCATAAATATTTGCACTGTAATCTTAATGTTGTTAATAATTAATTTTAACAGTACAATAATATTAATACAAAAATGTACTATATTGTACAGAAAAAAACTTAATATGTGACCCTGGAGCACAAACCCAGTCGCTGGGGTATATTTGTAGCAATAGCATTTAAAAAAAAGTTTTCTTCCGTTTTTTTTTTTTATCTGACGAGTCGCATAACACCCTTTCCTCCTGGTCAGGAGTCAAAAGGAAGTCTCTTATGTTCTATCGTTTAGTTTCTGCAAGCTGCTTTTCTTTAAACAAGTAGGCTGTACATATTTTGCCTCAGTGTGGGTGTTTGTTTAAAAAAAAAAAAACGGAAAGAAAAAGGAAAAGAAAAAATGAAAGAGGAAGAGGAACTCTAAAGGAAGAAGTCACGATTTGTGTGGTTCTGCAGTGAGTTGATTAAAGGCCATTTTGAGTGAGAGGGTGCAGGAGGGTGAGATCAAGACAGATGGAAAGACTGCTGGCCCTCGCGCGCAGCAATCAACAGTTTCTCGCGCATGATCTCGATGCTGGAGTAATCCGGCAGTTTCAGGTAGTTCACACACGTCATCACCGACGGAAGGAAGTCGTCCGGGTTCTCCGTCGACTCGAACGTCTTCCGAACGATGGTGAGGGGAGGGTTTAAACTCCGGAATCCTGAGAAGAAAACAAAGATGGAGGCCACGTTATCTGAGAATATCTCCCTGACGGCTGATGCTCTGTGGATTGAAATGGTTCCTCACCTCCGACAGGAAGTCTGGGGCTGCCTGTGACAAACTGCAGGAAAAGTCTCTGCTGCTCTGCATCAAAACTGCTCAGCACCTCAAACAGGAACCGCACTGCACGGCTACAGACACAACCAAATCTGTCATTTATACAGCCAGGGATGTTACTCAAGAGTTCGTGTGACGTGTGATTACACAGAAAGAATACACTACACAACCTGAAAATCTGTTCACATTTTAAAACACAACTAAACACTTTAGTTACGGAGAGAACTGGCCATCATACACTACCAGACATCAAGTCATTGAAAATGCAAACTTGCACAAAAGCAATGCTAGGAGACAAATGAAATGAAAATAATGTTTTGTACTATCATCAGCTCTAAATATGAAACGTGTCTGATGCCCTCTGGCTGGATAGAACCAATGGCTTTGAATATGGTCAACTAGCATCAACTAGCATTAAATCCTTCAGACTGCAAACCAGGGCAAAATCCCATAGTGTATTCAGGCCTATGCAGGCATGAGTGTATACCTGTCATGTGTGTAGCCGTGGTCCGGTCTGCAGCACTCTATTAGTGTCTTCACATCCCAGGACTCTGACTTACTGCCACATAACAACTGATCCAGCTGTAAATGGAGAGCACATCAAAAGAAAGATTAAACTAGATACACATTTCATTGTAAAACCACCAGTTAAAAAGGTCATGACTAGCATATTTTTTCCCTGAGGTGAACTTACAGTGTTAGAAAGTACAATGCTACAACGTTAAACAGCAACTATATAATTAAATCAGAATTTGATTAATTGCATATTTTATTGATACTAAGAAGTTGACAGTTTAGTCACTGGCTTCAGTTACAAATGCATAAATGGCAATTAATGGTTTTGTAGGGCTGGGTATCGAGTTCAATACTTTTTAGGCACCGACCGAATTTCCTCGATACCATCGAGTATCGAAAAACATCTCGTCGTTCGGTACCAAATTTCGATACCTAAGGGGTTAATCTCATCAGTGTCAGTGAGCCAATAAGCCTGCAGCACTAGCCGGTGTGTTCGACTAGAAGAGGTGCGACGCAGATCGATCAGTGTTTGACATCCGCGAGAGCGATTTGAAAGTGCACGGAGCAGTCTGCTCTCTTTAGCTCTCGTGGTACTGTAATACACCGATCGGTCTGCACAGTCGGTCCGCATCAAGTCGAACACACCTACTAGTTAACACCAGTTACACTCAGAGATGTGGGGCACACGTGAGGCAGCAGTGTGAATGCATCCTAGCCCCCATAGATGTAAGGCTACATTTACACTGGTGCATTTATGTTTTTAAATTA